TGCACCCCAGCACAGACAGGAGACAGCCTAAACAGAACTCCTCCTCCTTATCCCATATATCTAGGCTATCCCTCAGGTTATGCATACATTGTGAAATTAAGCAGGACCTCATAGCTCTCAGATGTGGAAGTATGACCCTGCTTTAGCTTGACCTTATACTGGACAAGACACAGGGATTGTCTCCTCTTCCCAAAGTACTTTGTTTCCCCAGGAAAGAAATGCAGGCTGCTAGGGATTTTCAGTGTAGCATTACATGGGGTTGTCGTGATGAAGATGCAGGACCCAGAAATAAGCCTGTTGAACATCATACACTAGGCTGGATCAGTGCACTGAATCCAGTCCAGGTCCCACAGCAGAGCATTCCTACACTCAAGCAGCTCAACAGTCCCACCCAGCTTGATGTCATCTGCAGATTTACTGAGGGTGCTCTCAATCCCCTCATTCTAATAGCTGATAAAGTTATTAAACAGAACTGGCCCCAGTACTGAGCCCTGGGGAACACCACTTGTAACCAGCCACCAACTGGATTTAATTCTCTTCACCACAACTCTTTGGACTTGGCCATCCAGCCAGCTTTTTACCCAGCAAAGTGTATGCCCTTCCAGGTCATGAACAGCCAGTTTCTCCAGGAGGATGCTGTGGGAAACAGTGTCAAAGGCTTTACTAGTCTATGTGGGTAACATCCACAGCCTTTTCCCTCATCCACTAAACAGGTCACCTTGTCATAAAAGGAAATCAGGTTAGATGTTCTTCCATCTACATGATTTGTAAACACTTTACCATTTTAAATGGTTAGCAGAGAAGTCAGAGTTTTGATGTAGCTAGGTAAAAAAAGAATTTAGTGCTCTCAGATATGTTATTGGTTCATTTTTTACTAATACCACTTCACAAAGGGGAGATGCTATGCACTCTATTTGCAGCATATACCCCTTTAACAGACAGGCAGAGACTTTCTGGAACCAATAAAACATTAAGGCTTCGTATCTAAAACCGAAATTCAGCAAATGCTGAAGGTCACATATGCTAAAGTGAATCTGCCATCTTGTGGATATATACCACAATACACTTCTTTTCTATACTATGCTGTTTGCTGCAGACAAATTGGTATCTCATATTTATATATTAACTAAGAATAGACAGTAAAATATTTCTGAAAGAAAAATGGAAGATGAAAATACAATTCACAATCTGATAGCTAAGACATACAGAACGAGTATTATACACCCTGAAGAAGTAACCACAGAGCTACATTGCCCAAGATACAGTACTAATTCTAGCTGGACAGACACTCTAGGTTAGATTCTTGGTCACTCTGAACAATACAGTTAAAACCCAATGATTTAACAGTGACATAAATTAGCATAAGAATAATATTAAAAAAAAGATTAAAACACGTCAGACTCCTTCTTCCAAACACAGGAAAAAAGATCAGTCAAGAAAACTTGTCATCTCTTTGATGTGAAATGCAATGAAAAGCTAGCAATGAAATTTTATCTAGCTGTAAATAAGACTCTGGGTTAATTTTTGGCTAATAAACTTACCTATTAATAAATTAAATCTACCTGGAACTACTACTGCATTTGGTCTTAACACAAGTTGTAAAGTGCACTTTTGTGAGTTGCTGAGTAAAAACTTCGTTATTGCTTTGGCTGACAGTTAAATTGGATGTGGCATAGAACAAGCGGCAGTGCAAAAGTAGAGTCCAAATGACATCCACAACAGTACAAACAGGAAAAAGATTCGTTCAGTATATATAATTGTCAGAAAGTTACAACCAAAGAAAAAGATAAATTCTCAGATGCACTTAAATATTGCTCTAAAACGCAAACAGCCCTTCTTTCCTTCCTGTGTGGAATATTGTTACATTAGTACATAACAATGTCATTAAATTGCATTAGTTCTGTTGGTGACTAGTTTCAACAGTGTTGTGAAATCTTGGTCCCTGGTAGGAATTCCCAAACTGCTATCACACTTCATATGCATTATTTGTTTTCATTCTAATGAAAAATCCCTCCAGTTGTGACTCATGGAAACACTGTATAAAAATAACAGTAGAACATGAATTCTACTTTAAATATAGATAAGGTATTTCAATGTAATCCTTTCAATAAGACAACTTTCGTCATCTCTGATCATAATTACTATTTGCAAAGCTATCAGTCTTCTGTCATGCTTTCACAGGAGTGATAGGAGAAATGTAGGTATCGAGATGTCACATGTCTAATTCCTTTAACTTTTTGAACAATTAGAAATCAAAATGATGGTTATGTCTTAAAAAAGTAGTTAGGGTGCTTAAATTAAAGCAATAAGATGGACTCATTCAGCGCTGAGAAGTGAAAGCTTAGGGGAGAACATATCATCATATTCCAGTATTAAGAGGGTGGCTACAAAGAAGGTGGAGTCTCCCTTTTTACAAGGAGTCACATGGAAAAGACACAGGGTAATGGTACAAGCTAATCCCAGGAAGATTCCAGTTGGACACTAGAGGAAAATATTTCGCAATGATAGGAATCAGCCGTTGGAAGAGTCTCCCCAGGGAAGTGATGCATTCCCCAACACTAGACACATTTAAGATTCAGCCAGATGGGGTGCTGGGACATTTAGTCTAGGTCATGTTATGCCTTGAAAGGTTGGACCAGATGATCCCTGAAGTCCCTTCAAAGCTAGTATTCTATGATTCTATGAATCTATTACTCAAAGCATAAGTAAATGATGCTTTAAATCATGATAGTTAGAGCTGTGATGTGTGTCACCGGTGTAAGTATTGTGGAGGAGACTCACTTTTTTCTTACACAGGATTGAGGAATTAGCTTCATTCTTGGGTTAAAGACCTGGAATCATTATAGGCTAAAGCAAAATAGCCAGCTTCACTCAAGAAAGTGAGAAAAAAGGCTGAAGAAACAGCAATAGAAAGTATGGCTGAATAGTTTATTGTGTCCTTCCAAACAAACAAACAAAGCTATTAAAAAAAAAAAAGAAAAGAGAATAACTTTGTAATGAACATTTCAGATATATTTTCAGGCTGAGAAAAAAAGTCTACAGAGCTTTTGACTGTTCACCCAAAGATAACAATCCTAGCAGTAGGTAGACAAGACAACACTGAAGATATGCTGTTGGTTTCGAATCCTTGAGTTAATCTGTCTTGGTATAAAAACTATATAAAAGGGAAGACAAGATCAGCAGAAGACCTCATTTGGGTAAACTCTCACCTCCAGTGTAACTGATTTGGAGGCAGTGGGACAGGCAAACGGGAGAAGCTTGATTTAATGACTTTCCATGGGGGTGTAGCCTGGTAGACTGTTCATTCAAAATTCTTTCTTACCCATGCAAAAAAGGATTATACACATCAGGTCAAAGACAAGGATGTCTTTTTTTTCACTTTTAAAGAAGAAAAAGCTATAAGAGATATACAAATTCAGGTACAGCACACACAGCAGAAAATGTACAATTTATTTGTACAATCCCCCAGGATCATTTCCTCCACACTTCATGAGTGTTCTATCAGTTACTTCATGGAGCATTTCCTAATTCCAGTTAAATACCATCAGAAATGGAAAAGAAAAGAAGAAGACACTAAAAAAGACATTGATTTTGAGGTACAAATCTTCTGGGGGAATTACTGCCAAGACTTTGGTTCAGTTCACTTTAAAAATGAAGTATTGTTTGCAAATCCAAATTCTGTATATGGGTTGTGATTTTGAATATAAATTCTCACCATTTCCCTGTACCAATCATGGCATCCTACACTGATTTTGGTGTGATACCTTCTTAAAATGCTTCCCACAATGACACTGAATACCAAACTAGATCAATTTCCTTAGTTATCGATAACTTTGTCTTTCCTTATTATGTGCATTTATTATATATACAAAATACAGTTTAGAGAATTTATATACAAGGATTCAACAGTGTTACACAAAAGTGACAACAATGTCTCATTTAGGGGTAGTAGAGAATATATGGATATCTGCCCATGGTCAAAACAGATACTACATCTGAATCTGTAACCTGAATATAGGGATTCTGTTTTCCTTGCCACATGCCTCACGCCTAAACATCACGTAGTGTAAGGATGCTTCTACACCATTTAGGACAAGTCAGATCACTCGTGTCAAGAATGACTCATACAGATAAGGCAACAGGTTTATTGAGAGATAGTTGCCATGGCAAACAGGTAGTGAGTTCAGTTTTGTATGAATCAAAAGAAGAGAAATGACCTCCAAAATAGCTAGGCCCTATCTGCAGTATATTATGTAGGATTTTTCCTCTGCAAATATTAATGAGCCAGTGCTATCCAAATAACCGAGTCATACTGCGTACTTTAGATTCATTTTGATCAAGAGATACTGTAAGTTCAGTATGTTCTACTATTGATGAGCTACAAAAACACCACATCCATCCCCCAAACACTTCTCTTAAGTACTGTAAACATATTCTAGAGGCAATGTGCATGACAACCTCTGGCACACAGAAACAACAAACTATGTAGAAAACAAAACAAAAAAAATTATTTTTTTTTAAGAAAAGGTATGAAACGCCAAAAAATTTTGAAACCAAATCATCTATGAATAAGAAAGTGTAACAACATTAGTAAAATCTCAATAGCAGTATCAAAACAGAACAGTGTAAATGACTTTCTAATTCAATGCCTTTTACAATACATTATGAATATCTGAGAAAATGAATAAATACCACCACTACAACTGTAAAGGAAAAATCAACATGGTTCATGCAGTTAGCTACTTTTAGCCCAAAACAGATATTCTCCAAATAGGATCAGCAGTCAGAATTACAGTACAATGCATAATAAACTGTCATTAACTATTAACTGCTTTGATTTCAAAAGACTTCAGGGGGTCTATGTGTGATACATATACTCAAGATACATAATTTCTAAAGCAAGGCAACAGTATTATAAGAGGACAAATGCAATCAAGAATATCTCTGCCAGAATAAGAAAAAAAACCCAAACAAAACACCCCTAAACCCCCAAAACACACTAAAACAAGAAATTTCAGCCTATTCAACAGCCTTGTATTTTATTTGCAAAAAATTAACAGACAATACATGAAAGATGTTTCAGATCAATTTCAACTGCAAACCTTCGCTGACGAAATGCCTTTAAAATTGCACTAAAATGGTTTTATTGCTTCAGTGCTTCTGATGCATGTTACATTTACTTGGATTGCAAATCAAGTAAACTTAAGTAAATCATTCACTAAATTGTGTTGTTTTGTTTCTTTCCCTTCCTTTCCAAATTCAAATTCTGGAAACAGAATTTAAAGGTCAAGCTAAGTTATTTCTGGCTTCTCTACTGACTCCGAGTGAAACATGTTCATATCCCACAGGCTATAATTTACCTATTACTCTCTCCAAGTAAACAATCACCTTGGCACTATCTTCTTGCTTATACCCTCCCCCCCCACTTCACTAAATAGGAAGCAGCTACCTCTTTTCTCATAGAATCCAAGACCAATTATTCTCAATTGTATCTAAGTTTGAAGTTTGTTGTTTCTCTTTCAGGTCCAAAAAAGAGGTTTCTGTAACCAAATGCCACTTTGCCAGCTGTATTAATTGTTCCAAGAAAACAATCACTTGTATCTACAATTCCAATCTAGCATTTGGTAAGACATATGCAGCCAGTTTTGTTAACAACTTATGTAGTTGTTTTAATAACTTAAAATGAGACATAGGTGAAGACATTGCCCCACTTTCTACATCCTCTCAAGTTTTTTTATTGCATTTGTACAGATTACATCGCATAGCTGCTCAAGCGCTGCAACTGAGATTTGTGTGTAAATGAATAAAAGCCATCACAGGTTAAAACTTCAATAAAATGCTAGCAAGAGTTAAATTCTGTTTCAATCCTTGGCCAGTTGAGTCACATGGTTGCTACTGAATGTGGTCTTTGCCTCAAGCCTTAAGCTTTTCCTTGTAATATGTTTAGATCTGTAAAGGACCCATGTATAAAATAACTAGAAAATATTATGTTTCACTCATGATGGGGGAAAGATGGAGAGTAAGATTCAGTTTGCATATGTAGTGGATTCAAAGAACCAAGTATACAAAGGAAAATGACAGCAGTGGCATCAAAATTGATAATTGTTTACTTACTACAATATTACATTCATACACTGAAATTTCAGATGAAAACTGGACCCTTTCCAGGTTTTACTTATTTCACTTTAAAGGAGCTAGCCATCTGCCATACAGGTTTTGTTAAAAATCCAGTCATCCAGTAGAAAAGCAGAACATTATCAACCTAGAGTAGCAATTTTTGCAAATTTTATCTTAAATGAGTTTTCCAAGGGAAGCAAATGCTCTAAATAACAAAGCAAGCTTCTTCCATTTCTGTTCTATATCATCTCAGTGAGTTTAAAGTGCTAATGTTTTGAGTAAACCCTACACACTATCAGAAAGTGAGGGACTTGCTAAATAAATCACAAATCGTTCAAGATCATCTATTTACATATATTCATATGTTCCTAAAATAGAAGCAGACAGGAAGATAACAGGCAGAAAAGGATGAGGCAGGGAAACAGAAAGAGATAATAAGCCTTTCATGTGGACAATATACTCAACCTAGCAAGCACTGCAGTAAGATTTTGTTATATCTATTCCTATACCATTTCTGAGTAACAAAAAGGTGAAAAATGCAAAAAAAAGGTATCTTACAGAGACAAATGCTCCGTCTCTTAGGGTGGCATTAATGCAGACTTCTGCATGAGGACTCTAATAATTTACAGAGTCTGAAATTAATAAGGAAAACTTAAAACTAATGCATATTAACCATTTTCTCTCAGTTCTCATGAAACCACATTTTTGTTCTGAACAAGACTGGAAAATAGTAGGGGTAAATGAAGCACTCTTCTTGTGCTATTTACCAAGCTAAAATGAAAAGCACTGAAATCTCAAAATTTTCTGAAATCTGATATCTTTCTTAATACTTCCATAAAGAGGCAAGAGATTCAGAAAAAGAAAACAAACCCAAAATGTATGTAGGTCTTAATTAGAAAACCAGGTTGTATTCTGACTCACTAAAATACGTCACTGAAAAATACTGGCTGTGAATACACAGCACAGATAAGGTGGACCAACATTTTCAGAACTCTCACTGTGCCTTTTGAGTGTTGACCCTAGTTTACCACATGTGATCCTGTAGTGTCCATATAACCTGCTGTGATGTCAGCATTTTATACTTACCCTCACAGTCCTGACTAATAGTTAAATAATAAGGTTTTGCAGCAAAGATAAGAACTATTAACCCGTTTATATGCACCACTTCAGCAAACTAAGGGCAACTAAGATGATTAAGGGAGTGGAGCATCTCCCTTATGAGGAGAGGCTGAGGGAGCTGGGTCTCTATAGTTTGGAGAAGAGGAGATTGAGGGGTGACCTTATTAGTGTATATAAATATATAAAGGGGGAGTGTCACGAGGATGGAGCCAGGCTCTTCTCAGTGGCAAACAATGAAAGGACAAGGGGAAATGGGTATAAATTGGAACACAAGAGGTTCCACTTAAACCTGAGAAGAAACTTCTCCTCAGTGAGGGTGACGGAACACTGGAACAGGCTGCCCAGGGAGGTTGTGGAATCTCCTTCTTTGGAGACATTCAAAGCCCACCTGGACACGTTCCTGTGTAACCTTATCTAGGTGTTCCTGCTCCGGCAGGGGGATTGGACTAGATGATCTTTTGAAGTCCCTTCCAATCTCTAACATACTGTGATCATACTGTGATAAACTGAATAGCTTACAGGGGAGACAGTATGACTAACATGAGGTGAAGGAAGTAAACAGATTTATGTCACCACATTTCAAATTAATCTTGTGGTTAAAAAGATGGTATGACTATAATTGACACAATTCTGTTCTCTTCATGATGACCAGTCCTGTGTAAAGTTATCATGCAAAGGAGACCAAATTCTAGACAGCACTGGATCAGTCCTGGTGAAATACCAATCTTAGACTCCATGGGTTAGATTCTGAGTGAAGAATCTTCACAAAAATTACTCACCCAGAGTCTGATAGCTAAAGTAAATCCAAGTAAGCAAAAAACAGAATTATGGTAGGTGAATAACTAATAAAAAATAATGGTTATTTCATGGCAGGATGCAATAAGGATACTCTAACATTCTTATCGACTTGTCTAATCCTGGGAATACCCTTTGTTTTTATAGATCACCACTCTGCACTACAGCAAGCAGAGTTTGTGCATAAACAAGATGACCTAGTTTTCAACATCTGCAAGTCTTAGCTTGAAGCTTGTTTGTTACTTGAAAAGGCAATTAAAATTTAAACAAGTGTGAAACAAACTCTTATTTTCCTTTAATTTATCTGGAAAAAAAAAACAAAAACAAACCATATATGCATTAACTAATATTCAATTAAAAGACACATAAGAATTCACAATAACAGGGGATAATTAACAGTCATATTCTTTGAGATTAAAACAAATCACAGACCAACACTAAAATGTATGCAGAAATATACAAGAACAGTAAAGGTAGACACCTGAGCAGACTTGGTTAATTCTTTGCAATCATAAGCCAAGTAAAGGAAGTTTAATTCCACAAAACATCCTTCAAGCTCTGAGCTCATGAAAAAAGCAACCTGCATATTTTTGTATGGAATTAATTAAAAATCCAGGCACTCAACTTGCAGAAGAAAAACACCTCACATGAAATCTGACTTTCAAGCATCAGTATTTACTTAGGCAAACTTATTCCTGTTTTCTTTTATTTGTATTTTTTTCTTATTGCATCTGCATCTGTTATTATTTAACTATGCATTTCTGGATGGATTCACTACTATTTATTGTACTTGTTACTTATTACAAGCTGAAAAGTGATACACAAACTGAATCAATTTCTATTCCAAAGAGCTTGTAAGCCAGGCAAACACAGGGAAACGCAGGAAAAACCGTCAAAGAACCAAGGGGCACTCACTTTTCAAGGAAGCTAAAGAACCCCAGTAATTGATACTTCCCAGTGTCCTGAAAAATGTTCTGGAAGACAAAGGTGCCAAAACTCACTGAATGTTACACTAACAAACTATTCTGAGTAAATTATTTTATCCACCTGAATACTGAACAACGTGATTATCATCTACAAATTCTTACATGCAGAGGAGACTCCTTTTACATTTTTTAGATGTGAAGTGTTAAGTTCTTTTTAATATCCTAGTTGTGTAACAGATGTAAAGCCCAATACAGAGTCCTTGTAGAATATTTGCATACAAAAATGTTTTAACTACAGGTCTGTAAAGTCACCCTTCTTTAAATATGATTTTTATACCTTCTTTTATGTGGATTTACTAGAACTATTACTAGAATACTAGATAAAATACTAGTATCAAAACTGTCTTGAGAAATAGAAAATAACAAGAATTAAAAGGTGTGTGGGGGGGAAATCTTACAGACTTCTCTGATTCACTATATTATCATGCACCTGAGATTACATACACTGGAATTAAAATTGCCTGATTCCAGTATCCTTCTCACCATTAGTACAGCTTTATATCTTAAAAGATACTTCTTTAAATAACATACATCTTGTTATCAAAGAACTCTGCCTCAGTGTAAATTATATTTAGATTTCTTATTTTTACCATTTCCTCATTCTCTTAAGTAATTCATTTGCTTATGGTACCTGAGAAAAGATTACAGGCTAGCATTCTGGACCCTATTAGCCAGCAGACCATTTCTCTCCTAGAGCAGCACCTCTGGGCAGATGGTCTGGCAAGCCAGTTCGCTCCATCCTGATTCTCCCCAGACAGGGAGACAAGTGATTCATCCCTCCTGGCAGATAAGTTGCTGACATTTCATCTCCGTTTACTGGGTTAGCTGACAGATTGTTGACATGATCCTTTTATTTTCTCCCTATTCAGTTTACATTAAAGCTCGAAACTTTAGCAGGTAGCTAAAGCTTTCTGCTACAGTCTGCTACCCCATAGAGTCAACTTTAATAGTAGTTTCATTTTCAGACCATAAAAGTTAAGCATGCGTATTAAAAGCTACATTGTAAAACAGTTTGGCAAAATATTAGAATGCCCTGAGGAAAAAGGCATCGCAAGTCATATGATATACGTATTAATATCACATATGGATGTTATTTATCAAGGAGAGCAAATGACTTGTCAAAGATTTCTTAAGGCACTGAAAAAAGAGACTTAGAATCAGATCTTGATGCATAAAAACTATTAAATTAGACCTAATGATAAGCAGTTAAATTCTGTAAACTAAAGTATTTTAAATTCGGAATTTCCCAAAGGGAATGCACCTTTTAAAAGCAAAAAAACTGACTTAGGTAACTTTGGGAGTATAAGATTCAGATTCAAAAGTTCTATCTAGGTTTAAATAAAGGATATATTATAAATTTTAATTATGCTTGGCAAATCCATAAATTTTAAGCAAGTTAATCTTGAGGTTGCTCAACTGTGCAACACACAAAAACTTGGCATTATGACATTACAAAAAAAAGTCTTCCTAGGACTGGAACCTTACAAGCCCTACAGGATATGGAGAGAAGGAGAACAGGCTGAGACATAGGGTTACTAGGGTAAAAAGAGACCACTAGTGCTCTAAGAAGCAGGGAAAGCAATCACTAACTGCTCTAAGGACCCATAAACTTCCAACTCCACTGGACTACATTACATGGCAATCAAAAAAGTGGAAAGCCATTTGTTCAGCTGCTATTTACTAAAAACTCACTAAATTGTGATTGTGTTTTAATACTCAGGGAAAAAAAAAAACAACCCACCACCAAAAACCAAAACCCAACACCTAGACTTTTGCATTGTGATTGTTATTTCTAAGTTACTAGGACATATTATCAAGATACAAGCTGACAGGATTTTTAGCTCTAGATTCTCCCTTTTTTGCCCTCAACCACCATCAGCTATACTTTGATCTTTGTAAGTATCAAGTAAGGATCATGAAAGTACACAAATAGTACAGAGATTTCAAATTTAATTGTCTCCTCCCCAACTTCAACACAAACAATGCACTTTTTGTAACATATATTATCATCAAATACAACTTCATAGTTCTTCTGATATTTCATTAAAGCTTTATGTTATTTGGCCACTATTTAAGATGCACTTTAGTACTTGTAAAAAAATTGAATTCTAGTTTTCTAGGTGACATCTGCAAAAATAAAATATTCTGTTACATCCATATTCTGCTTTTTTATGTTCATGATATTGTGACTCAAAAGCACTACTTCCTTTTAAGAAACAGATAACCCTTCCAGGAGGCTGAGCAAATTTAGTAATTTATAGCAAGAAAACATTTAGTTAAATTAACTATTTAAACAATAACCTATCTGAAATGTTTTCATATGACACTATCTACAAGATGGATTGAACTAACAAGGAAAGAAATTAACATAATTAAATGTTGAGACGTCCTTACAATTTGTATTATCCCAGTATGCCCTTACCTTCCTAGTTAGTTATTCTAATGTTGCAAGGAGAACAAAGTTACCCGTGTTTCATTCCTGTTACATCTAAGTTCCGAAAGAAGGATGCTTTCCACTGTAAATGGGTTCACAGTATGTATTCAGTCAATGTATTTAAATTAACTCTCTACTAGAAAGGGGAACAATTTCTTCATGACACTTTCTGACTGGTTATATACTTGACCTCCTCCAGGGTAAATGCCTTTTCCCTTCATTTTATTTACATAAATATAAACCCAACCATTTTAAGATTTTACATATCTATCAGTATGCACAGGAAGCATGCTCACTCTCCTGACCTACAAAGAGCTAGGCCATTTTACAGTGAAAAACAAACCAGTGCTCAAAGAAATATATCAAAGTTGTTTGGGTTTCCTTTTCAAAGAATAAATCATTATAAACAAGGATAGTTGAAAACTGAGATGTTCTGCAGCCCCCTAATCTCGCCTAAACTTTCATATACTCCAGGAATTCACAGAATTCCATCTTGCGCAGATCCTCCTCTCTAGGCTAACATTGTCTATTTTCTGTTTTTTAGGCTTGAACATGTACTGCTTGCACACAGTTAAAAAGGTCTCTGTAAAAGTTATTTGTGATAGCCTCTAAAAACAAACCACAACTAACTTACTTTACTGAAGCACATGACGAACTCCTTTCTTGGTATATTTGTTCCTTGTCAGTTTTAATGGGAGCTGTTGGTGAATGGCACTCAGCACTGGACCCACCAGAACTTCACTCTTTATGACACAGCACCTAACAGGACAACAGAAAAGAGTTGGTTTCAATAACACACACACAAAAAAAAAAAAAGAAAAAAAAAAGGGTGCGGGATGGGACAGGGAGGAGGATTTTCCCACCAGCTTCTAGGTTTGAATTCTACATGTTTGTGAACACAGACTACTTCTGGTGAAACTGCAAGATTCATTCAGTACACATTTCACAACTGTACTGAAAGGGTAACTACTGAAGGGTAAACTAGATGACTGAAAACTTACTATGGTTATAGAACAGTTTACTAATACGAGAAATATTTGAATCTTGTTAAATTCCATAATGATCAAAATTACACATATGAATTTATTACTCAGCTGTCCTCCAAGTTTCTAAGTATCTGAAAGCTATGCTAATCACTGTTGGCAAATTTAGATACTAGAATCAACAAGAACTTTGATTCCAGAACCAAACCACAGGGAATTTGATACACATAGAATCTCCTCTGTATGTCTGCAGAGGGGGATGCTCCATTGCAGTATCAATGATTTCACATGCTTGCATAAATGAAGTAGATTTCTTAGTTTTCACTGCATATCATGGTTTTTACCTAAAAAAATTTTACAGCTGCATCCTTGCTCTCTCCCCTTATTCTCACACCCCATACCTCCCCATCTTTTTGTATTTTAGAAAATGGAGAACTGCAAGTAAATTCAATTTGTGGTCAAAAGAGACACAATGTTTCCTCCAAATGCATGGTAGGATAGCTCAAAGTGCCTGTAAAATGTGCTCACTGATGCAAAAGCTTAAAACATTATCTACTGCCAGTAGCTGCACCACTGGCAGTAGATTACAAGGGCAGAAAATTTCTAGCCACTATAGCAGAAAACTGACACTTTATACATGCTTGCAACTAGGCATAAAAGCCTAGCAAAAAGAATAAACGCATTTTTAATAAATATGATAAAAATTAGGGTTTAGATACAAATTTTCATACACCACAAAATCTTATCTATCTTGGATGATGCTGTAGAATAAAAACATTTAACGAAATTATGTTTACTAGAGGTTTTTACTTACCTATACATATGGACCTTTAAAATCTGAAAAAGAGATCCTAAGATTCATAGGTTTGACAGCAAAGAAAACATGTTACAGTGGCCACTTTGCTGTTATAATTAGTATAGTTCTCAGTTTTCAGTTTCTCTAAGCATTAAATATATCAGATTGTCTGTAAATTTTTCCAACACACCTGCTTATATTAAGTCAAAATGGTGTTGTGCACACATTTTATTAAGCCATTCTTTCTTTTTACCATCATACTGCAATGCCAGATGAACATTTCCCACCACCTGCTGACAGATTGGATCTATGAAAGCTAAACTCAAAAACTTATTTCATGAATCTCTACAGAGCAGTAAAGTCCTGGGAGGAAGGATACCAGAATCCACTGGTTTAAGCACAACCCTATGAGTTTATGGGGAAGGACATGAGCACAAGATGCATCGTTGCTGCAATGACAGATTCCACCACAGCTTTTTTCCACATTTCATAGAATCATAGAATAGTTAGAGTTGGAAAGGGCCTTAAGATCATCAGGTTCCAACCCCCCTGTAATGGGCAGGGAAACCTTGCTCTAAACCATATCACCCAAGGCCTCATCCAACCTGGCCTTGAACACTGCCAGGGACTCAGTCTCGTTAAGAAGAGCTGCCTGTGATTTATGCATGTACTCGGCCATTGTGATAACATTTTCCCACCATTTTATCTGAAAGTAAGACAAATTGCAGAATGATTTAGGTTAAAAAGGACCCCTTTGAGATCATTCAGCTCAACCCCCTTGTGCAAGCACAGTCACTCAGACCAGGATTGTGTCCAGACATCTTTTCAGTATCTCCACAGATGGAGAATATACAACCCATCTAAGCAGCCCATTCTGAAGTTTGACCATCCTCACAGTAGAATAGGGTTTTCTTTTGTTCATAGGGTATTTCAAGTATTTTAATTTGTGCCCATCACCTCTTGTCCTATCAGTAGGCACTGCTGACAAGAGACTAGCTCCCTCATCTTCACTGTCTTCCAGAAGGTACATAATGTAAGACCCCCACTGAGCCTTCTCCATATTGAAAGTCCCAGTTCTCTCAGCCTCTTTTGATAACAGGTGCTCCAATCCCTTGATGATTGTTGTGGTCCTTTTATGGACTCATTCATGGAAGTCCCCGTATTTCTCATACTGGAAAGCCAAGAAGCAGACATGGTACTCCAGATATGACCTCACTAATGCTAAATACAGAGGAAAAGGATCACCTGCCTCAGCCTCCTGTCAGTGCTCTTCCTAGTGCAGCCCAGGATGTTGGCTTCCTTTGCATGAAGGCACGTTGCTGGCTCATGTTCAACTTAATGTCCCCCAGAAAATTCCCCAAATCCCACTCCGTAGAGCTGCTTTCCAGCCATTTGGCCCCAACAGGTACTGGTAGGCCTGGGCACTGCCCTTTGTTGAACATCATGGGATTCCTCTCTGCTCAATTTTCCAGCCTGTCCAGATCCATCTAAATAGCAGCTCAACCATTTGGTGTATACTATTATGCAGCAAACCTCATCCTGCAAGTTTGCTGAGGGTGCACTCTGTTCCATCACCAGGTTATTAACAAAAAGGTTGAACAGTACCGGCCCCAGTATCAGTCCCTGGGGTACACACCAATTAGTGACTCGCCTTCAACTGAACATTCTGTTATAAAGTTATTCTTCAGCAAGTAATTCAGCTTCAAATATTTTTTCCTTGATTCAACAAATTCCATAAATATTAATACACGCTATTAATTAAATGACTTTTACGTACGGTTTTTCTATTTGACAATCTGCACTCAAAAGAAATTTCTGCAGCAAAATGGAGAGGAAATCCAAGTACTACAAAGCCCAAAAGCACATGGATTCAAAGCGGAGACTCTCTAAACACAGGTTGAAGTTATTGTGTCTTCTATCTGTGGCACTAATTTCTAAAGATGTTTTTATACTGCTATCTTTGTGCTATTAACAATACTATGCATATTTTATCACCATTTCCCTTCTGACAGAACTGGGTCTCCACAAACATGTACAGATCTGGAAGCAGACTAAAAGTGAAAACAAACATCTCAAATGTTGGGCAGCATATAAAACGTAAAACATTGGTTTTTTACTATTATTGGTATTGAATTATATAAGGACATTACACTGGATTTTCTTTTTGATATTAGTAACACAATAAGAAGCCAAAATTTGTAAGACCCTTTTCTTCTGAAAGCAAAGCTGCTATTCTGTCACGAACACCTTATATCTGCTAGCAAAGCATGTGGGAACATGCTTGAATTCTGATTCTATAGGCTACAGGACCTTTGCCATAAGTCCAAAGAGTCTTACTATTCATAATCCCATATTTTAATTAATTTCATTTATGCAGTCACTGATGTATTTTTTAAGACTATTATCCAGAGGAATACTTAAAGTTACTTGTATCATATTCCTGGTACCTAGATTTTCTACAGGCAAATTCAGGTATTCCAACACCATTAAGGTCTGTGTCACCAGACTCCTATCAAGTGCCCTTTAGACCAAACAGATCTACAGGTAAACTCAATTTTTAAAAATAATTTAAAAAAATAAAAAAAACAAACACAAAACCCCCACCACAAACAATCACCAACACCACACACTGCTCTGTCAGGTTAGGGATGAGAGGGAGAAATGAAGTAGCAGCCAAGAAATATCCTTGTAAAAACATAGATTTAGGGTTTTTTCAAAATTCCTCCATGCCTTAAGTGATGTCAAGCAGCTCTGGGAGGACCAGACTCAGAAACCTGATTATGCTATGTCAGTTTCTACAATACTAAGCAGAGTTCTGCTGTCAAGGATTCACAAAGCCCTTCATCTAGCTCAAGGCACAGAGAATTTCACTTTGCTGAGTCCAATCAGCAGGGTAAATGTAGTGTGTAAGCTATACTTCTGGAGCCAAGGCTGCCCAGTCCAATAGCTAGATTCATACTGTAATCAATTCCTTGCTATTTGTAGATGTTAAGGTTTTTGATCAATGCTGTAGCATCCATTTTGCACTTGTATCTAGCTGGGTGTTATTCTCTTCCCACTCAGAGTATTTATATCTGTGTATGTACTAGATCTGTTGCAGTACTTCATTAAATGACTTAAACACCTTAAAAATGCTGTACATACAACAGCTGCTGTTATCTTAAAGGCAATACAATTTGCAGAATCAGCTATTTAAAACAAAGCCCACAGGAACATTTTCAAAATGAATCGTGTTAGACATCTGCTTAATAGATTATGTTAATCTTCAGCAAAACAAATACATGATTAAATATCAGTCCAAAAATATAATGCAGTGGAATATATTAAAACATGTGGATAGCTGCAAAACATCTAGGGGTATCATGACTAAAATAACTTACTATTTGAGAAGAAAAAAATTAAGTAATACAAATACATACACAAAATACAAATTAGATAAAATAACATTGAAAAGAACACTTCTCATGTATAATACCTACTGAGACAGCTTTATGCCTGTTTCTCATTATTTGCACAGAAACTGTTGAGACTTTTGCACCTAAAATTAGACTTACTCTGTCAGTTATGTTTCAATTCTTGGCTGCGACATCCTTCCAGCCACCCCTACGCTGCACTCTTGTGAGCTAGTATGGTAATGCAATAGCTCAAGATGACTCAATGTGTGCAGGGTCTTCAACACAAAGATGCATAATGGGAAAGGAGTGACATAGCAGTTGCATGCATGGGAGAGAGCTCCTTGGCCTTAATTTGCTGCTGCTGGAGGATTCCACAAGAAAAACAGATTTAACACACCTGCAAGCTTTCTTTTCTGAACTGGCACTGTAGATCAGGACTACTAAATATTTATTTTGCAAATAGAACAGACAAAAGAAAGCTGTCAGACAAGTTTTAAATATCATATATGGTTCACTAATAACTATCCATAGAATGATCATGAAAAGAGTATTCTCATTTTAAGTGGAAATAACCTGAAATAACTT